AAAAAAAAAAAACTTGTGAATGGCCATCTAAGGTGCAACTATTGGTCTCTTCCTATCCAGAGCAAAGAAGAGTGAAGAAAATCAAAGATGTAAGGAAACAGTTATTCCAAAGGACTAATGGACCCTGTGAACCCAGCCTTCAAGACCCTAAGATCAGAAGAACTAGATGGTGCCTGGCTACCACTGCTGACTGCTCTTAAAGGGATTAAAATAGAAGACTCTGGATAGAATGGAAGGAAAATGTGGAACAAAACTCAAAATCATAAAAATGACCTGGCTTACACTGATCTGATAGGGCCTGATGGAACCCACAACGCTTTTAGACACCTTTCAAGCCTGGGCCCCATGGCTCGACTTTCAGCCAAATGATACACAGGCCTATAAGGTAAACAATAACACCAGGGAGGTGTCTCCTCATTAGAACAATCAAATATGAGATCAAAAGAGAGGCATCTGTCCAGGGACAAAGCTCAGAAGGCAGGGAGGAATAGGAAAGAAGGAGAAGAGGAAATGGTAAACACAGGAGGGAAATGGGAAGAGTGCTGCTACATTGTGGGGATTGCAATGCATATCACAAAACAAAATTTTTTGAGTGGAATTGTTGAATGGAAAACTAATTTGCTGTGTAAACTTTCACCCAAATCACAATAAAAAAATAATAAGAAGAAAAAATTAGCAAATTATCATAGAATTTTTGCCTTGTAGATATATTGATACATCTAAACTGGGCTTACAAAAAATGTTTTTGTTGTTATAATTAATTATTGGGATATTTTTATTAAAAAGAATACATTTCTGCTGAAACACTGCACAAAAATTTTATAGAGACTTGTTTTGGTGTCATCCCTCTGAAAGTGCCATTTGGTGTGGTCAGTACATCCTGTACTCCTCTAGGGATGCCACTGCTCAAAAGAACGTAAAAAGTAACCAAACACTCAGTCTCATTCTTTAGATAAGCAGATTCAAAGTTGGTTAACCCCAAGGACTAATTAAGCCCTTGTAGACGGCATAATTTTTAAAGGAACTAGCAAGGCTTGACCCCCTAAAATAGTCCTTCATGGGTGAAAGTGTTGCTCAACTGGGATGTGAATTGAGGGGTCAGAGAGCCCCAGGGGCCTTGCCAGCACTGTGCCTCAGACCTCATTCCCTCAGACAGTTTCCGTTAGCCAAAGCCGACCATGATTCCCAGCTCTCACATTCCAGCTGCCAAAACCTACTCTCTTTGACTCTATTTTTGGTGGCTGCAGGAAGGAGAAGTCCTGCTCTGATGGTCAGGGCAGAGGGGTTGGAACCCCTGGCTCTGCCTCCACATCTGTGGGAAACTTTCATGCCCATAAACCACCCTCAGGGGACCTCCTGAGGAAACTGTCTTAACTTCTGAGACTTTCCAACTGAGACTACCAAGATGTCTACCCTCTAGTCCCTCTGACTCAAACCAAAAACACCAAACTCACTGCAATTGAGTCGATCCCGACACATAGCAACCTCTCCTTGGGTTTCTGAGGCAGTATCTCTTACGGAAGTAGATTGCCCAATCTTCCTTCCGAGGAGTGGCTGGTGGGTTTGAACCGCCAGCCTTCTGGTTAGCAGTGAAATGCCTTTAGGCACTATGCCACCATAGCTCTCATCCCTCTGACTAGTAGTGTCTATTCAGGAAAGGAAGACAAAATAGGCAAAACAAGTGGGGTCTGTTCTAACAGGTATGTGAGACAAGCCCTCTGCACCATACCATCTGGTTCCCACTCTCTGGTTTATGACTCATTCTTAG